AAAACATTTATTTTTTTCTAAGGAAAAAAAATAGGAAAAAAAATTTTTGGGAAAAACCCTTTAATTTTCAAAAAAATTTTTTATTTAAATATTATTTTAAAGGGGTTTTAAAAGTTTCAAAAACCCAAAAAACTTTGTATAAAAAAAAAAAAATTTTTCAATTTTGGAAAAAAATTTTTTTTTTTTTTCCTTTTCAAATTGTTTAAAATTAAAAAATTGTTTTCCTTAAAAAAAGGATAAAAAATATCCCTGTTTAAAAATTTTTTAAAAACTTCAAAAAACCGTTTCCGTTTGAAAAATTTTAAAAATTTGACATTTTTTTTTTTTTTTGGGGGTTTATCGATTTTTGGGGGTTTTTTTGTTTTATTTTCTTTTTTAAATTTTTTGATGAATTCTTACCAAAAAAAGATTTTTTTTAAAGAAAACCCCAGAAATTTTTTAAAATAAATAAAAAAATATTTAAAAAAAAGTGACCAAATAAATTAAACCAAAAAAATTTTTAATAAAAAAGGGCCCCAAAATTTTTTTTTTTTTTATTTTTTTTTTTTTTAAAAATTTTTTTAAGTTGAAAAAGGGTTTGCCCTGGTTTATGTGTTTTGGATTTTTAAAAAAAATTTAAAAAAAATTTAAAAAAAATTTCGGGGAAAAAAAATTTTATTATTTTAAAAAAATTTAATAACCAAATACATCCAAAAAGGGGGAATTTCAAAATTTAATGACCAATGTTGCGTTGTTGTTTGCAAAAAATATTTTCTGGCGGAAATATTAATTTTTTTATCAGCAAATTTTGAATAAATTTAATTATTAAAAAAAAAACCCTTTTTTTTTAAAATTTTGGATAAAAAAAAAAAAAAATTTAAATTTTAAAATGAAAATTTTTTGGGAAAAATCAACGAATTATTTAAAATTTTCTTTTTTCCCAAAATTTTCCCCCCGGGGGCCCCCGAAAAATGGGGCTAAAGGCCCTTTTCTGCCAAATTTTTTTTGGATTTTTCCGCCGAAAAAATTTTTTTTTTTCCAATTGAAAAAATTTTTCATTTAAATTCATTCCCTTTGGGTTAAAATTTTAAACGATTTATTGCAAAAAAATTTCCCACAAAAAATTTTTTACTTTTAAATTGAAATTTTTTCCCGTACTTTTAAAAATTTAACGCATAAAAAAAAACCCCAAAAAACAAAATAAATTTATTTTAAAAAAGGGGTTTTTTTGGAAACAGGGTTTTTTAATTATTTTTATACTATGTTCAAGATGATAAAAATTGTTACAAATAAGTTCATTTTTAGCTTTTCCAAAACCTTGAAATTTTTTTGTGGTTTTTGGGATTTGTAAATGGGAAAATTTTTTTAATATGGAAACATGAAATTTTTTTTAAAATTTTAAATAAAAGGTTAAAAAAAAAATAAAAAATATTAAAAAAAAAAAAAAGAATTTTTATAAAGTAAATAAATGTAAAATTTAAAAAAAAAGGTTTAAACTTTCAAGAGATTTTTAAAGAAATATTTTTTTTTTTTCCCCTTAGGTAAAAAGGTTTTTTTTTATGTATATTTTTTGTCTGTTATAACTAATGTTTTATTTTAAAAAAATTTTACAAATTTTAAATTTTTTTAAAATTAAGAAAATCATTTTTCCGGTTTCTTAAAAACATACATAAATTTATTTTAAAAAAGCATTACAAAGTGATATTTATCACATGTTGTCAAATGGTTTGGATCAAGCCGGTAGATGGGGGCGTACCTCATCTTTCTCGTAGAAAAGCCGCAGTATCAGATTCTTGTTTAAATACTTTGTAAGAAATTTATAGAATATCACAACATAATGGGCGGCAAATACAGTATTTTCCATTTAAAAGCATGTACACATAGGGTTTTTCGGAAACAAAGACAAAAGACAGGCAGACATATTTAAATCTCAAAGTATCAAACCTAGAAGCACTGGCCTTGTATCTACTTTTTGCATCAATGTCAAATTAGATAACCTCAGATCAATGGGCAAGTTAAGTAATCAGAGATGGTTAAGAAATCTTTATCATAATTTATAAAATGCCGTAGAAATAGTTCTTTTCAATCAACGAAAATCAAGGTTTCTACAGTACTTTATTTGTTGTCCCTAAGAAAAATGGGGAGATAAGTCTTGTCATAAATCTGTGACATATGAACATGTATCTGGTCAAGAAACATTTTAAAATGGATACATAATCAAGTCATAAATCTAGTAAAGCCAAATGATTGGATTTTTTTCACTAGATGTCAGCGACGAATACATGTATATTTTATTTTGTCTAAAACACCGTTATTACCTTTGGTTTGCATGCCAAGGAAAATGCTATCAGTGGAAAGTAATGTGTTTATGTCCACTTGTAGCACCAAGAGAATTTATAAAAACTATATCAGTAGTTGCAGTTCACTTAAGAACACAACATATTATTATCATACCCGTCTAGCAGTATACCTAGACGATTTGTTTTGTCTAAATCAAATACAATAGCAAATACTAAAAGATCAGTAAATTTGCCTCACTCTTCAATTAACTAGGGTTTTTTAGTGAATCTGGAAGAGTCCAATTCAATACCTCAAGAAATAAATAGAGGAAATTGCATGAGTGAAAATTCAATATCAAATATATTGAAAGTGTTGAATAAAATCATAACATTATGCGAGCAAGAGACTAAACTAATATATAATTGTTTTTAATAGAAATGGTTAGCTGTTTAAAAGAATCATTTTTCGTTGATGAGCCTGTAGTTAGAGCGCTTTAACGCTATGTTTGTATTAATTAAGGTATTAGGACCCTAATGGGCACTATCAGGAACTAAAAAATTGACATCATAAGTCAGATGTATACCTTAAAGTACACCTGTATGCAAAATTCAAACAAAGTTTACCGTACGGAAATCAAGTTATGGCCACTTTTCTGAACTCAAGCTAGGATGTTATGAGGGCCCTTTTTTAGAAAGTAGGAACCTTTAAATAATCTGCAATAACATTCTAATGAAAAATTTTTTCCATTAATTTTTGGTAAGAAACAAATAGTATCATTCTGCTAACAATCCAAATAAGCAAAATTATAGTTTCTACTTAAAATTTATGAAAACTGTATAAAAATGTAACCCTACCCCACCCATTTTTACCACGTGTCTGACCATTTTTCTACTTAGGGAGCCTAATTTAAAAAAATCTTAAAATTTACCCAAATGAGTGCCTGTTTTCAAAGTTTCCCTAAAATTTTAAAAAAGTATATTGGTTGATCTTGTAAAATATGAAATACTTTTACCGTCTAGTTTTGATTATATTACACTTTGAAAATATCAGGTACCATATTTATTACTAGATTTAGCATAATTTAGCCAATAAATACCTATATAAATTAAAAAATCAAAATTAAACACTTTTTTCTTTCCAATTGGGACATGAGAGATACATAAATAATGTTAAAAGAAAAAAAAAGAAAGAAAAAAAAAGTTGACCCTTCTGGGGATTGAACCCATGGCCCTCATTTTCAATGTAGTTAACAGTAGTTCAAGCCTATTTGAATACTCTTCAAAGCGGAGGTAATGCATTAGGGTGCTAATACCTTAAATACAAATGACGTACCGTCAAAGTGCAATATCGTTTTTATGCCCCCAGGCATATAGAAATTGAACCGCCCGTAAGTCTGTTCGTGCGACGTCGACCTTAAACGGAAATTTGGATTATTTTAGTTTCCCATGTACAAGTACCAATAGCTACATAATTTACACAGTTACTTATTAATACAAAGTTTATGTTCTGCTATGGCTTCCATTTTTTCGAGGTTATTGCCCATTTAAGCTTTTTTAATGGATATGATTAACGTACACTGACAAGTTGGATATATCTTAAGTTCTGTTTGCACTAATGGCTTCATAATTTCAACACATACATATCAATACAAAGTACATGATATTGCCAATTTATATAATTGTGCTACCCATTTTGTTAATATGTCATTTCCCTGTTAAGTTTTGTTTTAAAATAGGGCCTTGTATGATTAACTTATTTCAGGAAGTTGGATTTATCTTAAATTTCACATAATAACTTTATTTTTTCAATGATATTCATATTAAGTAGGTTAAATTTTGTGGATAAAAGGGTCATTGGGGACAACGTTAAGGTTATTGTTGTAAAAAAAATAATTTAAACATTTCTGCTCATACAGCCTTTATTTTAAATGGATATCCTTCGTGTAAAATACAGACATTCTTAGGGAGGTCTTCTTCTTTTAGGTTCAGTTAGGGGTCGGTTAGGTCGATGAAATAGTCATCATTGTTCAAAAATTTTTTCATTTTACAGGTGTTACTTACTCCCATTGATGATGTTTTTTGCTTGGTGGAAAAAATGAGAAACTTTTTCCTTTGGATGGAGGGCATTTGTTTTCAAGGGGGTGAGTGCTAAAACTGGAGATATAAACTTTGCCCATACAGCCTTTAATTATTATCATTTGTCATATGTAGAAGTAAGATAACTTTCGTGATATTCTTTCTTTTGATTGAATTAGGAGTCAGTGGGTTAAGGTAAATTGGGTAACAAATTATTTGAGTAGTAGCATAGTATCTTGTTTGGGTTTCGAGCTGAATATCGATCTTAAATGGTGATTTATGACCACAAGAGCTCTTAAACATTATTTCAAGGACAAGCTGATAGCTTTGTAGAACCAAGCCAGATTAAAAATGTCATGTAAAGTGTACTGTGAATTTTTTTTTTAAAAGTAGGTCAATTTTACGGTCCACTAAAGCTTGTTAATAACTTTTCAAATAACTCAATGAAATTCCATCAGTTATTTCACAACTAGTTTCTTTTTAAAGGATGTTCAATGAGTTTTGGTTTTTTTAACTTTAAAATATGAGAGACGTCACTTGTATACGCTGGCGTATGTTTTTTGCATTTGTTGACAAATGCGTAAACGAACATAAAAAGATTAATTCTCATAAGTTCTGTTTTTTTTTTTTTTTTTAAAAAAAACAAAACAAATCACTTCAGAAAATGGAAAAGGCTTCAAATTTGCTTGACAGAGATGTATATAAAGACAAAAGAAACATTTTGAGTATGGTTTCCATGGCAGACATTTTTTAAAAATGGCCGCCATGACATGATATCAACACCTTAAGATTCCAATAGAAGGTAAGAAGGTATGATACTTATGATTTTACTAAAAATACCTCAGTTTTTACTGAACATGAATATTTTGCATTACGTACTATACTGATAATAACACGTGTTAACAACTGTTTTAAAATTTACTGTTTTCTGTTTTAGCACGACACTTTCAGGGAAATGATAAAACAACATTTTAAGCGGTCTGATCGTGAACTTTTACATTTTCATTGATCATATATATATTGAATAAAAATATGATCAATGAAAATGTAAAAGTTCATATATCATCCTATTTAGACTATAATATGTCCAAATGTAGTAAAAAATGTAAAATAATCTTGATAAACTTTCCGTTTGTCTCTATTTGACAGCAATATTTCTTATAAAATTTGGATCATTTGAAATGTATATTTATGTGATCAAACTATCAATTTGTAGTTAAGGACACCTCATTATAAAGACAAAAGCGTATCATGTCAAATAACTACGAGATATTCACCATCATGCTGCCAGTATCGATGGTTAGCAAATGGATTATATTTCCCGTTCAAACTGTTTAAGTCATGATTTCCGAAGTTTTGAAAGCATAGGAAGGATATATCTCACATTCCTGTAATGCTTGGAAAGTTTGAAAAATCTTTCAGTCCTTAACAATTTGTCAAGCTCAAATAACACTATTCTGCTGGCACCAAATATAACTTAAAGCTCACGGGCAAAAAAAAAACAAGAACGTCTATATCCATGATCCGTAACATTACTTAGTTTGTCATTGAGCAATTATATTTATAATTAATATTAAATGTAACAATGTTTCACGTTAGATAATTCACTTTTCAATGGAAGGATTTTGTTTGCATATAACAGCTCAAACGGTGCTAGTTTCGCTCATCAATAAAATTTAAAACAAGATAAAAGAACAAAGGTTTACTCCAAAGCAAATTACTAAACTGGGATATGAAAGGAACTTACTTAGCATGTTTGACAGTGCAAATAAAATATTGAAAAGAACAGTCCTGCCTAAAATATGATATTTACTCAATATTTTCAAACAGTAGTTTTTTTCTGTTTTTTTTTTTTTTTTTTTTTTTTTTTTTGGGGGGGGGGGGGGTTTTCTTGCTGCTTAGATATTTATTCTGGATTATCCTCTAAGTTACTTTGAAACTGTATATCTGTCTCAATCATATTCTCAAAATGTTCTGGCTAATGAATTCTTTTTATTCATCTTTCATATTATGAATGTCTATGTTATCTCATGAATGTCATAAAAGGACCGGTCACGCGTGGAAAATCACACGTAACTTTGTTGCTGATGATATTAAAATCAAATCCTGTAACTCTGCTCTCTTGTGTTAGCTTGTCAACATATGCTGGTCATCGTTGAATCTATCATCTAAGTTGCAATTCTTCAAACTTACTGACTAGGATTTTCAATAAACCAGATTGATCGTGATTAGAACTCATTGATTGAGAGTAATACCTGAGTTGTCTTATGTTTAATGAACAACAATTGCTTTGTTCATTATTTTCAATACCGCACCATTTTCTCTGCTCTTGTATCCTTCTAGTTTATGCCCATTTATATTGGTTACCCCTTGCTTAGCTTAATAAACCTACCTTTAGTTTAAAGCATTTAACGAACTCGGAAATATATAACAGTGCGGCACATTGTCAAGCTTACGTCAATCCATTCAAACAGTAAAAGGTGCATGAGCTATTGTTTTTATCAAGGTCTTTCATGGCTGCTGTATTTTAAAAAAAAGGTTTGTGTCTTAAAGTGGATTCTCGTGACTGACCACGTGCCGTTCTTGCACGTTTTTAAATGCGTCATTCAAAGCACAATGTTAAACAGCTTAATGCAATGACGGCCCTTGATATTATCAAAAAATAACTGTTAAATGAGACAGGACAATCACTAGAAAACACGGCATAAGCAATTGTTATAAATGTAAATACAAAATACAAAAAATGAAACGCAAAATTACCGATTTTGATGTTTATAAAAATCTTGTTAGGAGAAAGCGATAACTAACCATTACATTTGTTTTTAATTTTCATTTGAAATCCAGAGTCGTGAAAAACGAATGACGAACGGAAATAATTAATGTTCCAAACATAACGGCTTCCAGAAGACAATTTTGATTACAACTAATTTCATACAAATCATACCGTAAATGGTTATGAATTATGTTGTCATCTTAGTAAAATGCAAGCGTTTTTTAAAATTATAATCATGTATGGTTGCAATTCCGGATTTTCCGGCCTTATTTGATTTTCAGAAATTGGTCCTATCTTAGGCAAAGATTTTTGTGTACCAAGTTTGGTTCTCCTACAATTTTCTGAAGTATGTTTTTTTATAAATTGACTGTAAATTTACAGGGAGGAACTTAGGATAAATGGAATTTTCATTGCTACTTATTTAATTAAAAACTGAAATCTTGGAATCTCATTGGCCACTATAAAATAAGTAAAATAATATAAATGATCTAGAGGAGTTTCAGAAAAGAACTTTCTTCTTAACTTTCTTAGTTTTTATTTTTTTCACTTTCAATTAGGTTTCTCAGATAGTTAAGTTCTGTGGAACCATGCTTCCTTCCACAAATTATTTTTCATAACCCTGATCGTCAATTGTAATACTTTTTCAAAAGTATTATTTTTTAGATTGCACAGTAGGTCACTTACGCTTGTTTCGGATTTAAATGTATTTCGGTATTTCCGTCAGTGCGCAAACAACAATACGTTGTTTGCGCAGCAAAACATGCCGTAACATTTTAGCACAATTTCGGCAAGCATATAGAAAATAGTACAAGAGATATATTGGAAAACTATTTGTAACGGTAGAGCCAATGAGCGAGTCATGACAATAATTTCACCTTTTTTCTTCGAAAATGGAGCTTAAAACAGCAAACAAATAACTGTAACTATGTATTGTATTGTGGAACGAAATTTGCAGACAACTTTTCTTTGAATCGATGCAAACTTATTATTATTATTATTATGATTAGTTCTTTAGACTTTCCATTATTGCCCAATTCATTTGTACCATATTAACAAATATTACCACGTAAATAATTTGCTTTTCATGATCTTTCGTGAGAATGACGACCTAGCCAGAGAAAAGGGAAAAACATTTTCGTTTCATCGAGGCTATGTTTGTTAGTCCACGACTCAAATAAAACAATAATGTCATTGTCTGAATTTAAATTAACAGCAACATCCACTTGTCGTTACCTCCTAAGGAAACTTTTCGTGGTTTTAAAAGTTCGTACCTTGGAGGTATTTCCATTGTTTTCTTACCGTTTTGCGTTCGTTAAACAACGTTAACTTTGAAACAATATTTCTCTTGTTTTTGCGCTCATCCGATGTACTCGCTCAAACTGAAATAAGTCCTCTAGAGCCTTTGCAATCTTTAATTTTGTTCCAATGAATCCTTTACGTAGGTCTATATCTCCATCAATGTCCTAGATTGGGTCTCAGATGTATTGCCAAATGTGTGTGAAAAGTATATGTTTTTCCTTTTACTAGATCAATTTTGCTTTTGAAAAAAAGCTCAACAATCGGTATCAATTCGCATTTTATTTATTGATGATTACTATCCTACGACAATTACACGAAATGAAAATAAGAATATTTTTGTTCTCATCCCTTTAGATGTTTATTTAAACTCCATTTGAAAGAAAAAACTAAATTTACAGCATTGTCTTTAAATCAAGCGTTACAACTTAAACGATTAGCTTTTTTTTTTTGAATGCAAAATATTTACTTGTTTTATTGTGCGATTTATTACAGTACCTGGTAATTGGTCGACATGGAGCAGCTGGTCTTCCTGTGATTCTTCTTGTGGATTAAGTACAAAATCAAGGTACAGATATTGTAACAACCCAGCTCCGCAAAATGGAGGATTGCCATGTGTGGGGCCTTCGACTGACAGCAAGTTATGTAATCTAACTGCCTGTCCTGGTAAAGTAAAACTTATCTAATTTAATTGTATGCTCCCGAGCATACACTAATTGAATCATCCGTCCATCCACCTGTCTGTACGATCTAAACCTTCACTGGCATATTGGATATATCATAAGTTGAACCTATATCAATCGCTTTATAATTTACACACCAGCTTATAAATACAAAGTACATGATATTGCTAAGGTAAATAACTGTGATATCCATTTTCCCAGCGATTTCGCCTTTTCTTATCAATTTAAACATAAATATGGCTAATTGATAAAATCTCAAGTTGTACCTGTATTAATGGCTTCATAATTTCACATTTTCTTAAAGTGCTGAAACGGATTTTTACACTTTTGCCCATACATCCTATATTTATTGACAAATGTCTCAGTATTAGTATTTAGTAAAAACATACCTTTGGCGGCACTCTCCTTTTTGATGGAGTTAATGGTCAGTGGGATCAAGGTCAAGAGTGTTGAAACGTTTTTTAATCATTTTCTCATACAGCTTTTATATTGGATTGAGTTTGGGGTCACTTGTTTTAATGGTAAGGCTACATTTGCTAACAATATATTTTTTTTTGCTTATACAACCTTTTTTATGACTATGTCTTTCATTTGTGGTAGGGACAAACTTTAAGTGAATGTTGGATCACTGAGTTCAAGTTCACCATTGTTCTAACAAAGATTTTTACTCTTAAACTTATCCGACCTTTACTTTAACTAATGTCTTCCGTATTTGGTAGGAAAGTCACTGGTTACCAAGGAAAGTTAATGTTTGCTGTGGGGTTTACTTGTTGCTTTTAAAACTCAAAAGTTGCTATCTTAATCACAAATCGGTATGGAAAATCAATTGTTTCTATGTGAATCACTGGTTGCTTAAGACGTTCGGTGGTTGTTGTGGCCCTACAAAACATCAACACTCTAAAGAAAATGACATCAAGGCTATAATTTGAGCAATTTTGACAGCTATTCATCGCACAAAGTTTCGTACCAAATTCCAATGTTTTTAGTCTATATGGGTTCAGAGACAACGTTTATTTTTCAAATACTAACTATTTATATACAATCAGAGTCAAATATTTCTGGTTGCATATGTTTAAAGCAATATTGTACGGGGGAACACTATCAATCATTAAGGTTCAACATGTGCTCGTTTGAACAAAAAATGTTTACGATTTCACGCTGTCTTATGCGTCACAAGAAAACAAATTATAAATCCTGGCCAAATTCAATTTAAAGCTGCACGCCTCCAGATGAGCCAAAATATTTCAAGAAAATCAATATTGAGAAAAATGTACTAAAATTTTAAGAAAGGTTAAAATATATTTAAGATGCAAGTTATATTTTACATGTTGTGTGCGATTAAAGACTAATTATGCAGTATTTTATAACCATATTTCTACTGCGTTACCAACGTAGTAAAGGCTATTTCTGCATATGTAGACGACTTTTTGGTTATTTTCTTAGATTGCAAGTGCCGATTTCAATATGTTAATTACTTTATTTGTTCACCTCACAATATTTTACTATAAAATACATTTCTAAAACTTTCATGAAAATTAACATCAATGTGGATTATAAATTCGAAGATGACTGGTTTCTTTCTTTTTTTTTTTTTTTTTAGAATGTATTTTATAAAGTGATAAAAAAAATTCAGCATTTACCGAATATTTTACGACAAGGAAAAGACCATATTTACCTACATTCATGACAAAATTGCCTTTTCGGCTTAGAACATCATCACAATTTATGGAATAAGCTTTCGAATTTCTTACTCCTATTCATTACACCAATTATTTTGTTTACATTTTTCTACCATGGTCATTTTTAAACCAATATTCTTATATCCAATTTTTTATTATTCATTTTGTTAATTTACATATTTTAGCTTAGTTCAGTAGTATGTCATTTATATATGACTATGTACTGTAGACTTATCCCGTTTTTTCCTAAAATAATGTACAGAGGTGCATCTGAGGTCCTCCTCCAACAGTAAAGATGGAAGTCGCCAAATGACCTAAACGGTGTTGGTGTTGAAAAAGTAAACTAAGACAAGGCGTGTGATTAACCATAATTATTATTATCATCATTTTGTTATTTTCATATGGCATTATCATTTGAACTACTGTTAGCTCTGCATAAGCTGAAACAAGAGTGCGCGTGTGACTTTCGTATTATCACATTTAAAACAGTTTAAGTATATTTGCTTCTCGTGAGTAAAAACACAGCTGGTCGTTTTAAATGCAGATGACTAACTGCAAAAACTGGCTACTTTATGCAGGAGAAGTTACTTAATATGAAATTATATATTTAACATGATAAATATATATTACATTACCCAAGTATCACAACTTGTTTTCAATCACTTGATTTAAAACTAATACAAGTGGTTAAAAGTGGTTAAATATTACTCCTTTACAGACGGTGTATGGTCATCGTGGTCATTTTGGAGTTTATGTTCAGCTTCATGTCTCAGTGGTATTTCTAAAAGAATACGGACTTGCAAAATGCCTGGGTGTTCAACAGTCATCCCTGATTGCATTGGAAGTAGTCAACAGACAAAACAATGTAATTCATTTCCCTGTCCAGGTAACTTTTTATTATGTATTCTTTGTCTTTGCTGTTGCGAAATATACTATCCCCAAAATATTTTGATGTATTCCCGTAGCACAGAGAAGGTCAGTTCAGCATTAAGCTAAAGTACAAAGAGAGATAAAACTGCATTATGTTAAGATTCGTTTAAGACTTTGTAGACTTTATGCTTTTCATTATGATTTAGAACCGATTAACATGTTACTATGAAGAAATTGAACAACATTGAACAGCATGTATAATTAAAACACTTTGTCTCTTTAATTTTGGTTTGAAATGTCAATATGCATCGATAACCAGTGCATACTTCCGAAGTTATATATTGCGCACCTTTCTAGTTTCATTAACTTTATTGTATTTTTTGATCAAACAACTCAGCTGTTATTCGATTGGTCGATGGCTCCAACGCTTACGAAGGAAGACTAGAGGTGTATCATGATGGTGGTTGGGGAACAGTGTGCGATGACGGTTTCAATGATAAGGCAGCCACTTTAGTTTGCAAAATGCTTAACGTTTCAGGGTATGTCATTCAAATGTTATACATGTATATTGTTGCTCTTATATTAACAGATTTGTAACATAACAAGTGGTACTAATATTATAACAACCACGAGAAAAACATACTTTTTCAATGCATTATGTTATGGTTAGTTTCATTCAAACATTCACTGTCGATCACTGAGGTTCAATGTCGTTTTACAATATTGCATGTTGTCTTTGATTGATTTATTTTTTATTTTTAAAAAAAAACAAAACATTTTATTGTTTTTAAAAAAATGATAATGTCAACAGTTTTTTTATACAGCAGTTTTTTCATTTTTTGTTTAATTTCCTGTGTCAAGTCAACCATTTTGAAATTATGGATTTTCTTGCCAGCCAATGAAAACTCTCAATTCTCATCAAAAAGTGGCGGACAATTAAAAAAATACAGTTTTCGAGGTTTTCTATAAACAAGCGTCGAAATGACATCATATTACAATTTCCTTCCCAGTTAACATTTTCCTTTCCGCTTAAATCCTAAAAAACTGATATAACTACCTTTTTATGATAGGAATTCAACTCAATGATGTAAAGCAACTTCCTACGATGTTACTGTTATTTTTTTTTTTTTTTTTTTAAATGTTTGCGTCATTTTACCAAAGTCAATGAAAATTTTCAATAACAAGCAATTATCATAGTATTGCAAGCAATCCATAAGTCCCCTGCCGGTAAAGTAAGCCCAAGCAACATTCTGAAGGGCCATTGGCCATTCACTTAGGTTCCTATTTTAAGTAAATTTGTTGAAAAAGAACATGATCACAGGAAACAGTTTTTATGTACAGACAGACAGACTGAAGGACACTCTAAAGTTATTTTTTAAACATCCCTGTTATCAAAATATAACATTTTTAAAATCCTATCATGATTGAAGAAGTTGGAGTAAAAATTACCAATTTCTCAAAAAAAAGTCTAAGTTCAAAAGGGGCATAATTCTGGAAATAGTCTTGCTAGAGTATTGAACACTCACAAATGTTGAGTGATAATAAGAAACATTTATATGAAGTTTGAAGTAGATACATTCAGAAAAAGAAGTTATTAAAAAAAAACAATGTTTTTTTCATGAAAATTTTAAGTTCAAGGGAGGTAATTTTGATAAATTTTGTGCTAGAGTTGTAAACCTTGTCACATATGATGTGGTTGATGACAAGCAACTTATATTTAAAGTTTGAAGAAAATACCTTAAGAAATAAAGAACTTATAGTGAAAAAACTTAAAAACTAGAATCAGAAATCTTGAAATTCAGTCTATTTGTTGCCATAGCAACCAGAATTTTCAACATAGGAAGATAAGAAAAGGATGTGCATAATTTCCATACTGCCATCTACATATATGTCAAGTTTCATAAACATATTTTCAGTACTTTTTGTGTTATCACTGGATCCAGGTTATGTGTAAAATTTGCCATATTTTCAGTCTATTTGTTGCCATAGCAACCAGAATTTTCAACATAGGAAGAAAAGAAAAAGACGTGCATAATCTCCATACTGCCATCTATCCATATATCAAGTTTCATAAAAATATTTTCAGTACTTTTTGCGTTATCGTGGGATCCAGGTTATGTGTAAAATTTGCCATATTTTCAGTCTATTTGTTGCCATAGCAACCAGAATTTTCAACATAGGAAGAAAAGAAAAAGACGTGCATAATCTCCATACTGCCATCTATCCATATATCAAGTTTCATTAAAATATTTTCAGTACTTTTTGCGTTATCGCGGGATCCAGTTTTGTGGACGGACGGACTGACGGACGGACAGACGGACGGACAGACAGACGGACGGAGGGTAAACCTAAAGTCCCCTCCGGTAAACCGGTAGGGGACTAATTATAAGTACATGTATACCCGAAACTGTTGAATTTATTGAAATCTGAACTTGATGCAAGCATACATTTTGATACAAGAGGAAATATTTTTTTGAATGAAATATTATTGATCAGCTCTTCCGCTGCATCGTTTTTTAAATAAAGTCTTTTTGAAAATGATAAGTGTGAATATGTTTTTGTAAGTTTATGTTCTGTTCAATTGAAATGGCATTATTACTTTTTTCTACGCTTATGTATATTGCTAATATTTGGCATTTATAAGAGGATATGGCGATATCAGAATGCTATTATTTTTTTTATTGGGTTTTCATGTCACACCGACACAGTATAGGTCATATGGCGACGTTCCAGCATTACTGGTGGAGGTATACCTCAGGTGCCCTACCGTGCATTATTTCAGGCACGAGTGGGCACCTGAGTAGAGCCACCGACGTTCCGTAAGCTAGCTGGATAGCTTCCTCGCATAAAATAATTCAAAGTCCATGTCAGGATTTGAACCCACAGCGGTAAGGGGCAAGTAGTTTGAAGTCAACGACCTTAACCACTCGGCCACGGACGCTCCTAATTCATAACACTTGTTGAGCAGCTTCAGATACACAAATTAATCAGTATATTGTAACATTTATTAATGAATCTTTGACACATTCCATTAATGAATTATTAAAAATTTTTTTTAAATGTTTGACTATTACAATAAAAATGTATTTTATTTAGAGCAATACCAAAAGTATATACTGGCGGGCATTTTGGAGCAGGATCCTTACCAATCCTATTAGATGATGTTACCTGTGATGGAACCGAAAATATCTTGTTCGACTGTCGACACAGTACATGGGGAACAAACAATTGCGGTCACGGCGAAGATGTGGGCGTGTCTTGTTTTGCAAGTATGTTTTATGACATTATTTATAATGTAAATGTAACATTTAACATACTGATAGATTGTCTGATCTTATCTTTATAAGTAACAAGTGTATAAAACAAAAACATATCACTTATTAATTGTGGTAGTTTTTGAAATGTTTTATCATTTTCAATAAATAACCATATTAAAGTAATAACACTGTCAAAATCAACGCAAAAATAAAGTCTGTAAATTATAGTCAGAAAATTGTATTTGAATGGCTGAACTAGTAAAAGATACGAACGCAATAATTATAACTCTTGTTCTTAAAAATCTTGTGAAATTTTCCCAGAGTATTCCGAACATAGTTCGCTGAGTTCCGTAAAAGTACGGAGGCAGTGTCACATGATCTTATTTGAATATTGACATATAAGAGGAAAGCATGGTTGCTCGAGAGTTTCTGATTCGTATATAAAATAACGGCGAGTAAAAGGCAACAAATACGCGATCGCCCAAGAATTTACTTTATATCAATATGCAACAAAAAAAAGAAATTTCAACTATACCGGCCGATAAACAAATTAGCAAATAACGATTTTTTTTCCCGAAAACTTGCTACAGGCAACAGATAATGTCCGCCGCCAATTATTTTAAGTATAAAAATAGGTGCAGTTCTATTCCTATAACGTTAGTATAACGTACACTCAAACGTCTTAAGTTCCTTTAGCAAAACGCGCAGCGATTTTGAAGCGCTACATAAACTCATTACTACTACATTACTCAATAACAGTACTTCATTTTTACTAAAAATACCCGGAAATATTAAATATAATTCTTTTTTATAGTACTAACGAAAACGTCTTATATTATAGGACCACTGCGCTTTCATCAGCTCTTTACGTAAACATGTAAAAAGTTGTTGGTTTATATATGCCATATATTTGCTTACAGTGTATAAGGGTATACAATTTTACATTTTATGAATATTATGTTTTATTTAAATAGTTGACAAGTTAATCTCTTTAAAATTTAAGTTTACTTACATGAATGACTGCCATTGATCCATTCTTTGAGATAATTTTGCAACTTAATATTATAGGTGAAGCGTAACAGCACATATATATCTGAAATGTTTTAATTGTTGCGACTTAAAAGTGTTCAATTTGCAACAGGAATTACTATCGAATGACGTTTGCTTTTAAACGGAGACCCGATACCCCATTCATTTTTTATGATTTAGGTATAGAAGCTCGTCTTGCCGGAGGAAACTCTTCACATACTGGACTTGTTGAGGTATCTGTCGATGGTTCGACGTGGGGAACAATTTGTGATGATTCTTTTACATCGAATGGTGCTAAAGTTGTTTGCCGGATGCTTGGATACCCCTCGTAGGTCAAATAAGGACTACTGATTTAAATTTATAGATGTTCACGTTTCACAATGATTCATTTATGCTGGGACTTACAGAGTGTTTCATAATTGTTTGGTTCAAGGGCGTTTGAATATATGCTGTTTCCTTCTGACCCTGTCCTTTAACGTGCAGTAAAATATTTTGTTTCAGCATATGAAAATCAGTTGTTATGATAACGCGTTACGTTTTCATCATTACATACATGTATATATATTTAATTACATCCGATGTCTCTGCAATGTTTCCAACGTTTATTACTTATCCACTATCTGTACAAATTCATTTTGCTGCAATGAATTTAAAGTAACAGTGTTTATTGTAAATTGCAAAAGTTTGAACAAGGAAGATGTTTTTATTCTGAATGTCCTCTACAGTGGTTTACTTCAGAAAAAGACATGCACAATGTATATTTAATCTTATAAAACATACTGCCTAGTTAACTGTCCGACCAAATTCATTAATGAGATCAACACGCTATTAAACCAAATATGCGAAGTCTCTTCAGTATTCTCATTAGCGAGTTTTTGGGTTTTTTTTATTTTTTTTATTTTATTATTTTTTTTTTCTTTTTTGGTTTGTTTATTTTAGAAAAATGTCATGCAAGAAATCGTTTAAAATGTTTGAAAAGGCTAGGTATGATAACATAATGCTGCTGTTCAATAAAACATCTGTGAGATATAAACTTCTAACTTTTTATAGCTATAATCATTTCAGATCAAATGCAAGCGCTTATACCAGTCCCCGTCATGGGAGCGGACAGATATTCTTAGACGATGTTAATTGTGTTGGTACTGAAAGTACTTTGGATCACTGCAAACACTCCACATGGGGAGTAAATGATTGCACCCATTCAGAGGATGTTGGCGTCATATGTGCATAGACTGTTTATCTGTTATAAAATCGAGAAAATATCTGTGGATGTTTATAAATAAAACCAAAGTCAAGCTTAAACTTATTTTGTTCTATTTGCAAATAAACAATTAATAACCTCATACACATGGTTAAACAACAAGAAATTTATATAACTTACAGTTTTTGACTACTATTTTTTAATATGTTATATCTAAATATGTGGCAACATAAATGACAAGTAGAGTGGAACATACCCCAAAGGTGTTGGTGCAAGAATAAAATTCTTACGGCTATTTCCTCTTTCAGAGTCTTGGATTTAGAGTTTTCATATTTCAGAGTCTTTAGGGATTCTGTATTTATCTATTTTAAGATCACATCCGTGTTATTTGTGCCGTGTGGCGGCTGTAAAAAGTCTCCCCGTACATTTAATCAATGATGTTATATTTTCGATCCTTGAAGATCGTTCAGCACGACATTATTGTTGTGCTTGTGGTATTTTTAGTTTCAACTTTTCGGCATTTTCAAGGTGGGTGGTTCCAATATTCCTACTTGAATAATGTTGAATCACCCTTAGGATATGTTGCCTGCTTTTTAAATTTGTCTTTTGACGTCTTATCTGTGATACGCAGGCTTCATAACCTCTGATCCCCTTTCAAAATTCCATTTTATTTAGTTCCGCCCATTGTTTTCTCGTTTAGGGCACACGCTTTTTATTAATGGGGGACCATACGCCGCTTTTCATGGAATGGCACGGAAGTGTCACATTGAAGGTTCCATGATAACCGCCGTATGAACACATCTGCGGATGTTTCTAAATTCAAAATTTTACTATTTCATGTTTAAATGTTGAATTCTGCTTAAGCCGGTGCTAGGGGGCGTGGACGGTAACTTGCACTTTCCAGTACCGTCCATGAACAGGCTCAATCAAACCGAGCCTGCAACATTTTCAATTTTGCCGTGTTGGGCTTTCTTTAGGGATTCTGTATTTATCTACTTTTGGAAATGATGCCAAAAATGACGTCACGGTTACGTCGCATTGCTACACTGTAAAAGCTCTAAAAACTTTGAATGAATAAAATAATTGTTTGTTTAACATGTAAAATTAAATTGCATGTCGCCCAATCACCAATTGTTATATTTTCATCCGTGGCCACGTCATTCGTGAACTTGTACTCTGTGAAATACAATTCAATTTTTAGATTTAAGTGCAAACCTTCTCTATGTTATAGTAAGAACATATTGAAATTAAAATCATACTGATTAAGGGGAGGCGGCGCAAGTGATAACGAGAGACCCTATAATTCTTGTTTGCGGTATAGATCGGGTTAACGGGATGTGCCCCCTTCTGTTTTGGGGCTTTGTATGGGGTGGTAGTCCCCATCATCGCCAAGAAAATTTTGAACATGTGACAGGCTAAAATGGCCTCAGGTCGATCGTAAGGTAACGTGTAACCAACACAGAAAGCATTTTAGTTGGAGCACTTTGAAATTAGTTTTGATGAAAAAAAAACAATGCAAAATATTGATTTTGGCAATTTTGAGACGTCCCTCCCCCCGTTGCCATGGTAACAGGAAATTTAAGATTAGGCATGCTGTTACAAAGGCTATGGTCCAGTCAACATTTGTGCCAAGTTTCATCAGTATTGAAGCATTTTTCATAGTTTCATAGCAGTTTGAACTTGTAACAGGAGGCTTTTAAATGAAAACGGCCATTTTTTATAATATGCTTATGAGGGAAAGGTTAAATAGAACTTGTGACCTTCATCCGAACCGAATACTCACTTTTTAAACTAAATTACATTTTATTTAATCTCAAGGCATACAAAAACCATTTTACATGTAGTTTAAATGGTATGAAAAGCTTATGGCCTTCGTGGCCAATTTCTACGCATCAACACTCCAAATCGGTGTTTAATAACCGATAAACACCGATAATGTTTCTTAATGATAAATCGTTTGTGTTTAACTGAGTTTTTTATTTATATATTTGTCATTCAACACTAAACTCAGTCATGGTCTAGTGACACATATTATGGCCTAATAGACCTTCATACAACGTTTATATATCATGCACCTAGGGTGACAAATACCCCCACCCTGGAGGTCATCTAGTATCTATGGATTATTAAAGTAAAACATTTTTTCAGACAAATTTTCTTGATCGGGTCACTTCCTTGATTGAGATTATTTTTTATTTCTCAAACAAATTTGCATTCGGGCGAATATTGCCCCGCTTTTCAGGGTGCTCTTGTTTCATGATGTTAATTTCCCGTTATACTTACTATTTATGCAAATGTTCGCGGAGAAAAATCACACAAAATTTGCATGCCGCAGCTGGGACTGGAATCACGGGTCTCTGGATTGCCGGTCCAGTAAGCTGTTGTTAACTTTATCGTGACGTCATTACTTTTATTACTATAGCGGCGAGCTGTTTACAGCTAGTTTTACCGCTGTTGGCTGATTCAGTCCGTTTTTTTTTTCTAAATATGATTATCTTACGGCAAACACATTTTTTAAGGCCAGTACCGCCCATTAAAGAACATGAATGAAAGGAGAAAGAGTCACGAGCGGACATACGTAATAATGTAAAAGTAAAAGAGAACTAAAAGAAATATTAGCCATGATAGTATATAAATAATACATGGGTTTGTGGGTAACAGTAAAAACATCATACCGAAGAAAATATTGTTGCCCGAGGTGCTAGCCGAGGGAAACAGTATTTTTTTAAAGGGATGATATTTTTACTGTTACTCACACCCCCATGTGTTATTTATTTTTTTACCCCGAACAAATACCTGTACTGTAATGATCTGGAAAAAAAATCAACTAAACATAATTGAACCAAGAGCAACAATAAATCATCTGTCCTAACCTTACAAGTTATACGTGAACTTAAGAAGTTATTTTTCTTTAATTCTTTAAGGAAATAATGATATTAACCAGTCATAAACTAACGATAGGATGTGGTTCATTTGGAAATCAAAACACAAACATCAAGAGAAACAAACAATTTCATATAAGCTATTGATTTTGTAAAAGCTTTGCACTTTGCAGTGACCGGATCACTTGCACGTGATTATGTCGATCAACACTGTTCAGTGCAATATCAAATGTTTATAGGAGCAAATTTTGCGGGTAGTGTGCGCGTATGTCGACCGCGCTTTTTGTGGTTATGTTCAAAGATTTCAAACGGAGTGTGTCACATGAGTCGACGGCTAAACTGGGGGCGCAGTTCAAGAAACAAGTTAGATAAACGCGGCGGAACGAGCGTTTTATCCTAGGGGCGGCGAACTTTAGAGGATGAGTTAGATAGCATAGAGTGGCGCAATCGCTGGCACATGAATAGAAATAAGATTCTACACGTTCAAGGTTTCCAACGAGGTTTCTATGACTAAGAATGATGTCACGGCGAAAAAAAAAGCCTGTTGTTTATTCTAAGTTTTTATACAATTTTCGTCTGTTACAATGGTACAGCGAGATTATGGACTCAAACTCGGCACTTGTGAGTAACCGGATCATTTTCAAATGATAAACGGTCGATTCAGATGTAAAGGAGTGACCCCCTGCAGGTTCCAAAGTTTCCAAAGAGGTATATTAAATGGGTGTTGGGCAAAAATGACGGCGCAGTGCAAGAAAAGGGTAAGAGAAACACGAAGAAACGGGCGTTTCCCATGCATATAATTTGGGGTGCCGAGCTTCACACAGCAAGTTCGATACCCTAGAGAAGCGCGATGGTTTTTAAAAAAATAGGAGTAAGTTCAAAGGTTTCCATAGAGGTGTGAACCATGAGTATGAGACGAAATAATGAGTGATGGCCGACTCAACCATTGTTATTTATAATATTCGTTTTAGTACGTTTTTATGCCGCTGTGGCTTTCTGAACTCAAACATGGCACTTTTTAGTGGCCGGATCACTTGCGCGTGAAAATTATTCAATACAGCGTCTTTTTGACTACATACTGGTTCAAAATCAAAAGCTATAAGAGATACTCTCGTTGAGACGAACTAAAACCCCATTTACGGAGTTCATCCTGAAAATCAGTGTTGTTCTGCGCGTACGCCAATTTTCAACTGGCAGTTAATGTTGATGCACTGCAAGAAACAAGTAAGAGAAACCGGTGTTGACCTTTAGATGGCAAGTTCGATACCCTGGATTGATGCAATCGCTTGCACATGATAAAAAATAAGTTTTTATGCATTCCAAAGTTACTAAAGAAATGTTTTTATAAGTCTGGGACGAAAACCGCTGTGGTTCATTTTTAAGTTTCCATACCTGTTTTCGTATGTTTAAATGTAGTGGCGAACTTCTGCGCTATAAACGCGACACTTTGGTGTGGCCGGATCAATGCATGCGAATAGGTGTGTCATTTTGATGATCGTCCTGGAAATCGTGGGTGCTGTGTGAGTACGTCAAATATCGACCAGAATATTATGTTGGTGCTTTTTGATGATGGAAAGAAGTAACCCTCTACAGGTTCTAACGTATACAAAGAGGTATGTTACATGACTCTAGCACGCAAACTTGCAAACAAGTTAGAGAAACGCTGCGATTAGGTTCACACGACAAGTTTAATACCCCGAAGTGGCGTCTTCGGTGGACAGGAATAGAAATAAGGTTCATCGCGTTCCAGGGAGTTGTCATAGATTGTGTATCATGAGTCTGTGACGAAAAATGGCATCACGGCGGACAGAACCGCTGGCCCCGTGTTCACAAAGAAAAGATCAGGATCAGATGATCCTGATTTTATTTTCATTGTTTTATACAACTAAAATTGATGGTATTATGCTAGAAGTAAATGGTACATATTCGAAATATAAATAATTGCTTACTTGCAAAGAAACCAACCTATTTTGGGGGAAAATCAACAAATAACAAAACAAATACAAAAATAATCGGATCAAAATAAGGATCAATTTCAGGATCAAGATCAAAATTTGGATCAACTGTAAAATACCTATTTCTTGTAAAAATAACAATAAATTCATTCTAAAATTTCATAAACATCCTATTTCAAGTCCAGTTTTATCAAGTTAATACTGAATATTCAATCTAAGAGAATAAATACTGGAGAATATTTGGGTTTTTAAATTTGA